GCAGCTATTTTTGAACTTCTGCGCGGAGTAAGCGGGTCTTAGCAGTGCTGAATAGCTCAACTTAACTTTGTTACAGCAGTACAAACTTACTCATGAGAAGAGATATTTTAGGTTTCTAACCACTGTATTTAGGTTGCTAACCACTGTAGTCGGAGAACGTCCTTAAGACTTAATAGAGCCTGAGAGTAATCTCAATTTATCATCTAATTGTCATCTATTTTTGTTGCGGGCGTTTAGTATTTTGAGCAGGACGATCCTGACTTGTATTTAAGTAAGGTGAAATACATCCTCGAGAATGACGTCGAAGAAATGGAACTGTACTTCACCGAAGAGGAATACGACAAGGGCGGTCAATTATTGAAGGTAAAACCGTTTTTTTTTATTATCTCGTGCGATAATTTTTACGCGCACAGATGCGATTGAGCGCGTTTTTCTTCTCGCAGGTGGCGGAATTAATTCCCGGTGGTAGCAAGATCAAGGTAACCAATGAGACGAAACTTCGTTATCTGGACGCGCTTGCTCAGCACCGACTCGCCAGTTCCATTCGCAACGAGATCGATCATTTCCTACGCGGCCTCAACGAACTGATCCCCGACAACCTATTAGGAATATTTGACGAGAACGAATTGGAGGTGCGTCGTCACATCCATCGGATTCGGATTTTTATTTTTCTCGCGAAGGTTTTCTACTTTTTTTTCTCTTTTCTTTTTTTTTTTCGCAGTTGCTGCTGTGCGGAACTGGCGAGTACAACGTCGCGGATTTGCGGGCTCATCACATAGCCAACGGCAGTTCTCCGGAATTTCTCCGAGTGCTGGACTGGTTCTGGACCGCGGTTAGCAATTTCACACAGGAGGAAATGGCGCGATTGTTGCAATTCACTACGGGCTGCTCGCAATTGCCGCCCGGAGGATTTCAACAGCTGAGCCCGCGCTTTCAGATCACAGCCGCGCCGACATTCGCTAACCTACCCACAGCGCACACCTGGTATACACACATAAAACATACGTCGCTTCTTAATAAGAATGTGTCATTTTATAAATCTCGCATATGTATGTCGACGATTAAAAAATCGATTTTCAGTTTCAACCAACTGTGCTTGCCCGATTACGAGAGCTACGATCACTTCGAGCGAGCGTTGCTGTTGGCGATCAGCGAAGGCACCGAGGGTTTCGGCATGATCTAGAAATTGGAAGTGGAAACCCGTAAAAATTTAATTCTAGTCGAGTTTTTATCTAGAACACACCCCACTGATTACATTGAATGAAACCGATTAATAACCGTATCAATTTTTTCCTCTGACAGTAAAAAAAAAATCAGATCCTTTCTCGAAGATACGGTCACGAGTTTCCTTTTTTTTTTCGTAGCGCAACTTTCGCACTGTCAGCGAAGTCGAAAAGAGAGGATTGAATATAAATCCTCGACCGCACGCGTTTTTTTGATACGTAGCCGATTTAGAAACTTTTTTGGAATTATACGTATGAAAATTATTTTTGTTTTTCATTTTGACGCCAAAAGACTATGTGAGAAACAATTTACTCTTCCGAGACGCGAAAGAGACGTGTGAAGGACATGCAGTTTCTATGCCGCGCGGCGACGTTTTTATAAAAAAAATAAAATAAAATAAAATAAATGAAAAAAAAAAAAACGATGGATCCAGCAAAGAGCAATGTTGCCTCAGAACATCAGAATTGCTCAATATAATATAATATTGTATCAAGATGTAGGCGTAGCCGAAGTTACAAATAGATATGTAAAACGAGAACGTAAGAGGAATTTAAAAACGCGTTTTCTTTGAGAAACAACAATAGTAGTTTTTAACGTCGCTGTATAATAACGTAACGACGTAAACCAAACAAATCAAAAATAACAATTATATATTAAACAAATTTTTTCTTTCTCAGTAAACCGACATATACAGGGTGTCCCAGAATTGCCGTACAATCTCTCGTAGGCAGGTAGAAGAAATAAAGCTGAATCGAAAAGTCCTATACCATTTTTTTCTATTATTTATAACAAAGAAGTAATTATTGAGTAAATCAGCGCCGATCTTTAGCCAGGCGCACGTCAGTGAGCTCTCACACACACCAGG